TTCTCTTTCTTCTCCTTTTTCTCCTTCTCTTTCTTCTCCTTCTCTTTCTTCTCCTTCTCTTTCTTCTCCTTCTCTTTCTTCTCCTTCTCTTTCTTCTCCTTCTCTTTCTTCTCCTTCTCTTTCTTCTCCTTCTCTTTCTTCTCCTTCTCTTTCTTCTCCTTCTCTTTCTTCTCCTTCTCTTTTTTCTCCTTCTCCTTCTCCTTCTTTTTCTCCTTCTCCTTCTTTTTCTCCTTCTCCTTCTCCTTCTTTTTCTCCTTCTCCTTCTCCTTCTTTTTCTCCTTCTCCTTCCTCTTCTTTTTCTCCTTCTCCTTCCTCTTCTTTTTCTCCTTCTTCCTCTTCTTTTTCTCCTTCTTTTTCTCCTTCTTCCTCTTCTTTTTCTCCTTCTTCCTCTTCTTTTTCTCCTTCTTCCTCTTCTTTTTCTCCTTCTTCCTCTTCTTTTTCTCCTTCTTCCTCTTCTTTTTCTCCTTCTTCCTCTTCTTCCAGGTCACAGCTCAGATTTTTTATCAGTAAAACGATCGGGGCCGATTGACCATCATTGCTGGAAAAAATCGGCCGATCGTCAAAATCGGCCGCCGCACATTTTCCAACTTGACTGATAAAAAAAAGTGCCAAAACCCTGAAAAACGGCCGGCGGCCAATTACCCACTAATGGTGTGAAAATTGGCCGATTTTCGCCCCGTCTATGGCCGGCATTAGAGGAACAATAAATGGATCACAGAAATCCATGGAAGTGGTTCTGCAAAAGCTGAAGCATTGGGTGTCCCGGCTGTCTCAGGGCTTCCGGCCGGAACCAAGAAACTTTTCTCTAGTTCCGGCGGAGTTGTCCGGATCTCGAAATATTATCGAAGGTGAAATCGATCTCACAATTCGGATTGGTTTTCGGAAGATAATATGCAAATTATTAATTAACTGATTTCCAAAGAGAGATGCCCAAGAGGGTTTTGTAGCCGTGCCCGCCCTTCTTCGGGATCATCAGGAGTCAGGTGGTGTCTGTCCCCTCCCCCTCTGCCATGGCATTTTCGTAAGACGCCCAGAAGGGTTTTCTCTATGCCCGCCCTTCTTCAGGATCATCAGGAGTCAGGTGGTGTCTGTCCCCTCCCCCCTGTAATGGCATCTTCTTGACACCCACAAGGGTTTTGTATCTGTGCCCGCCCTTCTTCGGGATCATCAGGAGTCGGGTGGTGTCTGTCCCCTCCCCCTCTGCCATGGCATCTTCTTGAGACCCCCAGAAGGGTTTTGTATCTTTGCCCGCCCTTCTTCAGGATCATCAGGTGGTGTCTGTCCCCTCCCCCTCTGCCATGGCATCTTTTTAAACCCCCAGAATCTGTATCAGTGCCCGCCCTTTTTCAGGATCATTGGGAGTCATGTGGTGTCTGTCCCCTCCCCCTCTGTCATGCCATCTACTTGAGACCCCCAGAAGGGTTTTCTCTGTGCCCGCCCTTCTTCAGAATCTTCAGGAATTATGTGATGTCGGTCCCCTCCCCCTCTGCCATGGCATCTTCCTGACTTTTTTTTTTTTATTTGATTGCATTTATTAATTTGAATTCGATTTAAAATTTTCGCCACAATGTAGTTTCGATATTTCGGATTCGTTTAAGTTCGATACGATTGTAATTCAGATACATCCAAATCTCCGAAGAACGAAAAATGCATTCGAATTTCGATTCGGAACGAAGCAAACCGCACGTCTCATTCCTGACGGCCGACCATATAATCCTCACCTTCTTGTCTTGAAATGTATTGTAATTGTACGGCCTCTCTTTATTTTGTAGGGCCCGGCATAAACTGGAGGCGCTCTAAATATTTTGTATAATTAAAAAAAAAAAAAAAGCAACGCGTTTCAGGGGTTCAAAGGGTCCTCCCTTCATCAGGTCTGCAAATAACACATAAAACATTGTAATTTATACACAGTATTGTCCGGTGTATAGGATGCCAAGAGTATATACATAGGGAGATATATATATATATACACAGACAGATGTAGCAAGTCGAGTAAAGATGTTATATGTACCCCTGATGAAGACCCTCTGAGCCTCCGAAACGCGTTGGATCCAATACCATAAGATTCTGCTTTTGGTTCTGTGCGTACAAGGAATTTTTAGATAATAAAAAGGATACCCATTTCATCCTGATAAGGAGACCTCTGGCTATATTGTTTACATGCGTATTTAAAATATGCATCTGGTGAGTGCGTATTTAAAATATGCATCTGGTGAGTGCGTATTTAAAATATGCATCTGGTGAGTGCGTATTTAAAATACGCATCTGGTGAGTGCGTATTTTTACTACACTTCTGGCACATCACTGACGTTTAGCACTTTACCACGAACTGTCACTTTATTTGATATCTTAATTTATTCCTTTTATGAGTCAATATTTATTATTTTAGCGCTGCACCTTTTTATTATCTATTTGTGGAGGTTTTACTTGGTTACCTTTTGTGTGCATCAGCAGCTAATTTTTAAGCGCTCACTGATCTTATTCCATTTTGCAAGGAATTCTTGTTCCTCGATATACAGTCAGTCTGGAGGTGAATATAAAGGGTTGGGGTTAGTCATCGTGATCACAACGATGGGAAGATATCGGATCTCGATGGGAAGATATCGGATCTCGTCTGACCATGTATGGAGGATCCTAATGACATCACAACTCGTGATAAAGTGTCTGAAAGTCACAAATCGGCCCATGTGACTGCCTGCCCTGCCCCCGTACTGGGCCTTATCTAGCAGAGTTGATAAGGATGGGGAAGTATTGAGCTGTCCTTGGCGAAATCTCCTCCGATCCAACCAGCTCTCCCTGCTGGACCGACCCAGCGCAAGTTCTGGGGTGACGGGGAAAATGCTGCTTGGCGGTACAGTCCATACACAGCCGGTCCTGGGTCGTGTCGGAGGAACTGGATGCGTCAGGGATTCACGTGGCTGGCTGGGATTGGAGGAGATGGCTCCATGTGACAGGTCAATGTCTGGGCGCTCCGATTCGCATTAACAATCAATGTCGTTTTTTGGTTTTTTTTTTCCCAATGTTTTTATTGTGCTCTTTTTTTTTTTTTTTTCCTGTTTTAACCCTTTCGCTGCTGAAGCCTTTTTTTTTTTCAATGTTTTTATTGCACTTTTTTTTTTTGCTTTAACCCTTTCGCTACCGAAGCCCTTTTTTCTTTCAAAGTTTTTATTGCGCAATTTTTTTTTCTGTTTTAACCCTTTTGCTGCCGGAGACTTTTTTTATTTTTTTCAATGTTTTTATTGTGCTTTTTTTTTCGTTTTAACCCTTTTGCTGCCAAAGCCTTTTTTTTTTTTTTTTTTTCTTTCAATGTTTCTATTGCGCTTTATTTTTCTGTTTTAACCCTTTCGCTGCTGAAAGGGTTAAAACAGAAGATTACTTAAACCCCCCCCCAAACCATTATCCACTTAAGGACCGCCCACCCGGAATGTACTGTGGATGGGCGGCCCTTGCAGGCACAGCGACATACTGGTACGCTTCCTGGTTTAGGGCCAGATCAGACTCCATGGCTTTTAGTTGCTTTTTTTTTTTTTTTTTTTTTTTCTGCATCCAAAACGCACAGAAAGTAAGTGATATGGTGGTCAATGTCATCGTTCACATCAGCGCTTGCAGTTCCAGTGTGTTCCGGTTGCAGAAAAAAAAGAACAGGTTGCATTTTTCCTGCACAGAACTGCACTGGAATGCGGTAAAAACGCACAAAATGCACCGGAACGCACACATCCCTATTTAAATTGAACAAAAAGAGAGGGGGAAGAAATTAACTGGAATGCATCAAAAACGCACCGGAACGTGCAAAAAATGCTCATGCAAAAACGCATCTGGACTGCGTTGCTATAGTGTGAACCAGCCCTTAGGGTACGCCTTTGAATCCTCCCCTCCCCCCAGCTATGATTGTACACAGCGGGAGTCTGTCTGCATGTCCCAGCCAATGATTTATGGCTGGGACCTGCTGATTGGTCTGTGTCCAATCACAGCCCAGAGCTCCATGTTGACAATCAACACAGAGCTCTGTACGGAGAGAACAGATCTTTCTGTTTCTTATCCCTGCAAAAGCAGGGATAAGAAACAAAGAGACCTATTAGTAAAAGCAGCACACTTTACTCATTGTTGGGTACACATTTAACCCCTTGATCGCCGTAGATCAGGGGGTCTCCAGACTTTTCAAACAAGGAGCCGGTTTACTGTCCTTCAATCAGTGGGGGTAGAGAATGTCCCGGGCCCAGCATCAGTGAGAACAAACATGGGGTGCTATTCCTCCCATTAATACCCATCGTTGGTATCAGTGTAAGAAATGTGTCCCTTTTGCTGGTGTCAGTGGGAGGAATAGTACCTCATATCAGTGGCGTCCCGAGGCAGGTGCGGGGGGGTGCGGTCCACACCAGGTGACACCGACCGCACGGGGTGACACCGGACCCCCTCCACAAAAAGGTAAGTTGTAAAGCAAGACGACGATCCCCGCAGGATGGATCGGATCTGCACATAAGTCTGATCCGTTATGCTCAATCTGCAGATCCCATCCATTCTGCGGGGATCGTAGGAGGGGGTGTTACCACACCGGGGGACACCAACCCTAGGCACACCTCTGCCTCATATCATTGGGAGGAATAGTGCCCTAAGGGCCGGATGAAGGCTAGCAAAGGGCCACATCCAGCCCTTGGGCTGCAGTTTGGAGACTCCCTGCCCTAGATATTAACCCCTTTCCAGCCCATGTAATTAGTACAGTGACAGTGTATGGTATTATCAATGAACACTGTATTAGTGTCACTGGTGATGTCTCTGGCAGTTTGTCAGTTCGTGTCAGATTGCTCTCCGCACTATCGCAGTCCCATTATAAGTCCCTGATCACTGGCATTAGTAATTAAGAAAAAAAAATTCAGTATATATACCCGTTGTATAAAACTTTCATGCAAACCAAGCAGTATATACATCCTTTTTGTAAACCAAAGACAGAAGAAGTTTGATTCTATCATGAATGCTGCTGCCAGACTCATCCACCTTACTAACCATTCTGTATCTGCCACCCCTCTCTGCCAATCCCTCCACTGACCTCCACTCAGTGTCCTCCACCCCTCTCTGCCAATCCCTCCACTGACCTCCACTCAGTGTCCTCCACTCCTCTCTGCCAATCCCTCCACTGACCTCCACTCAGTGTCCTCCACTCCTCTCTCTGCCAATCCCTCCACTGACCTCCACTCAGTGTCCTCCACCCCTCTCTCTGCCAATCCCTCCACTGACCTCCATTCAGTGTCCTCCACCCCTCTCTGCCAATCCCTCCACTGACCTCCATTCAGTGTCCTCCACCCCTCTCTGCCAATCCCTCTCCACTGACCTCCACTCAGTGTCCTCCACCCCTCTCTGCCAATCCCTCCACTGACCTCCACTCAGTGTCCTCCTCCACCCCTCTCTGCCAATCCCTCCACTGACCTCCACTCAGTGTCCTCCACCCCTCTCTGCCAATCCCTCCACTGACCTCCACTCAGTGTCCTCCACCCCCCTCTCTGCCAATCCCTCCACTGGCCTCCACTCAGTGTCCTCCACCCCTCTCTGCCAATCCCTCCACTGGCCTCCACTCAGTGTCCTCCACCCCTCTCTGCCAATCCCTCCACTGGCCTCCACTCAGTGTCCTCCCACCCCTCTCTGCAATCCCTCCACTGGCCTCCACTCAGTGTCCTCCACCCCTCTCTGCCAATCCCTCCACTGGCCTCCACCCCTCTCTGCCAATCCCTCCACTGGCCTCCACTCAGTGTCCTCCACCCCTCTCTGCCAATCCCTCCACTGACTTCCCATTGCCCAACGAATAAAATTCAAAACACTAACACTGAGGTATAAAGCCATTTATAACTCCGCCCCAAATTACATCACCGATCTTGTCTCCAAATATCACCCAAACCGTCCTCTCCTCCCACGACCTCCTGTTCTCTAGCTCCCTTGTCTCCTCCTCCCATGCTCATCTCCAAGACTTCTCCAGAGCTTCCCCCATCCTCTGGAACTCTCTACCCCAATTTATCAGACTATCACCTACTCTGCCCACTTTTAGGCGATCTCTGAAAACTGATCTCTTCAGGGAAGCCTATCCTGCCCTCAGCTAATAATGGAATCTTCTATTCCTCCTACCATCCCATCCCCCACAGTTACTACCTTTTGTACCACTAGCCCCTCCCTCCTAGATTGTAAGCTCCCAGGATCAGGGCCCTCCTATCCCTCTTGTATTGAACTGTATTGTTGCTGTATTGTCTCCCGTTATATTGTAAAGTGCTGAGCAAACTGTTGGCGCCATAAATCCTGTATAATAATAATAATAATTTTTATTTTATTTTTTTCATTGGATATGTTTTAAAGCAGAAAGTAAAAAAAAATATTGTTTTTTGGGTTTTTTTCAAAATTTTTTGGTCTTATTTGTTTAAATTACAAAAAAAAAAATCCAATTTCACTAAAAGACAGCTCTATATATGTGGGGGAAAAAAAAGATACAAAGTTAGTTTGTGTACAGAGTTGCATGACTGAGCAATTGCCAGTTAAAGTAGCGCAGTGCTCCTTCTGGATCTCAAGTGTATGCATGTGTATGTGTGTATATATATATATTTATTTTTTTGTTTTGTTTTTTTTTTTCCCCTGAAAATGGAGACCCTGAACAATAAAGCAGCTTTTTTCAGTAAAATATAAAAAACAAGTTTGCGCCGAGTAGAGAGATACCCAACATGTCCAGGTTTAAAATTTTGCGCGCCGGTGAAATGAAACCTAGTATTTTCCTTAGATGACGTTGTAAAAACCCCGCCAGGTCATCCGTGTAGAGCTGACCGTGTATAATTATTGCGCTTGTTCCAGCGCGTGTGGCGATATGTAACGTGTGTAGTGCAATCAACGTTTTCTTCGTACATAAATACCCCGACACGTGTTTTATATCATATGTACATCGGGGCGGGCTTACAAATAATTGGGGGGCTTTAAGTGCAAATGGGGCTGCGCTGCAACCATGCGCAGTGGTGCACCATTCACGGGATTAAAGCGAGCAGTGAGGAGGCGTCCTATCGAGGTTCAAAACATATACAATGTGACTCTGCAGAATACCAGGAATTCAGGTTGCCGGCTGTCTTGCGACCCATCAGCTTAAGTGGGTCTGTGACAAGTAATCAGATAAGAACTTTTCTCTCACTTCTTGATCTGCACATTTGTGGGCGGAGCTTGTGTGTGGCTTTGGTGCAGAGGGTTCAAATGAAAACGGTTTTCTGTGTTCGTCTGCCGAATAGTCAGCAGTGGAAAATGATAGTCGTGCTACATGTTGAAATGGATTTCAAAGGCAAGGCACCTAATGGCACAGACATGAAATGGTGCCCATGTGTTGTAACAACTGCCCCGTCTACAAGGCATACCAGTGCATGCGTGTTATACATGTTACAGCCCACTATAGCCCAATATAGCCCACCATACCCACTATGGACTGTTCTAACCCAGTGTAGCCCACTGCAGGCCAATATAACCCAATTTAATTGACTATAACCTGCTATACCCCACTATAACCCAGCATAACCCTCTATGGCCCGGTATCACCCACTATGGCCCAGTATAACTCTCTGTGGCCCGGCGTAACCCTCTATGGCCCGGCGTAACCCTCTATGGCTCGGTATCACCCACTATGGCCCGGCATCACCCTCTATGGCCCGGCATCACCCACTATGGCTTGGCGTAACCCTCTATGGCTCGGCATCACCCACTATGGCCCGGCATCACCCTCTATGGCCCGGCATCACCCTCTATGGCCCGGCATCACCCTCTATGGCCCGGCATCACCCACTATGGCTCGGCATCACCCTCTATGGCCCGGCATCACCCTCTATGGCCCGGCATCACCCTCTATGGCCCGGCGTCACCCTCTATGGCTCGGCGTCACCCTCTATGGCTCGGCGTCACCCACTATGGCTCGGCATCACCCACTATGGCTCGGCATCACCCACTATGGCCCGGCATAACCCTCTATGGCCCGGTATCACCCACTATGGCCCAGTATAACTCTCTGTGGCCCGGCCCGGCGTAACCCTCTATGGCTCGGCATCACCCACTATGGCCCGGCATCACCCTCTATGGCCCGGCATCACCCTCTATGGCCCGGCATCACCCTCTATGGCCCGGCATCACCCACTATGGCTCGGCGTAACCCTCTATGGCTCGGCATCACCCACTATGGCCCGGCATCACCCTCTATGGCCCGGCATCACCCTCTATGGCCCGGCATCACCCTCTATGGCCCGGCATCACCCACTATGGCTCGGCGTAACCCTCTATGGCTCGGCATCACCCACTATGGCCCGGCATCACCCTCTATGGCCCGGCATCACCCTCTATGGCCCGGCATCACCCTCTATGGCCCGGCATCACCCACTATGGCTCGGCGTAACCCTCTATGGCTCGGCATCACCCACTATGGCTCGGCATCACCCTCTATGGGCCCGGCATCACCCTCTATGGCCCGGCATCACCCACTATGGCCCGGCATCACCCACTATGGCTCGGCATCACCCTCTATGGCCCGGCATCACCCACTATGGCCCGGCATCACCCACTATGGCTCGGCATCACCCTCTATGGCCCGGCATCACCCTCTATGGCCCGGCATCACCCTCTATGGCCCGGCATCACCCTCTATGGCCCGGCATCACCCTCTATGGCCCGGCATCACCCTCTATGGCCCGGCATCACCCACTATGGCCCGGCATCACCCTCTATGGCCCGGCATCACCCTCTATGGCCCGGCATCACCCACTATGGCCCGGCATCACCCTCTATGGCCCGGCATATCCCAGCAGGCCACATATGTAATCACAGGCCTCGTTGTCCATTTGAACCAAGCCAGGACCTTCCCTGCCAGTACAGGGACTGACCCCGCAGCGGCCGTCCTTCCATCATTAGTACATGGATCCCGGAGCGGAGATGGGGGTCAGGCAGAAATATCTGTGGCCACAACCACGTCCTGACATGTCTGACTCGTCACATTCACCGGACGGTGTGAAATCCATATAGACTGCTACTATGGGGGAGGGGAATGGTTCATGGGGGAGGGGAGGAGGAATCCGGGTAAAGTGTACCTGTCATAGACAACAATAGTGTCCTGCATTCACTCCCCCCACACTGCTGTGACACAACGCGCAGGATGTACTGGGGGCAGGAACTGGTGGAGAGACTTGTAGGACCATAATGTATGCATGCATGCTGGGACTTGTAGTTCTTCGATGTTGGAGAGAAGCTGACGGTGCATGCTGGGACTTGTAGTTCTTCAATGTTGGAGAGAAGCTGACGGTGCATGCTGGGACTTGTAGTTCTCTGATGGAGAGAAGCTGACGGTGCATGCTGGGACTTGTAGTTCTCTGATGGAGAGAAGCTGACGGTGCATGCTGGGACTTGTAGTTCTTCGATGTTGGAGAGAAGCTGACGGTGCATGCTGGGACTTGTAGTTCTTCGATGTTGGAGAGAAGCTGACGGTGCATGCTGGGACATGTAGTTCCCTAATGTTGGAGAGAAGCTGACGGTGCATGCTGGGACTTGTAGTTCTCTGATGGAGAAAAGCTGACGGTGCATGCTGGGACTTGTAGTTCTCTGATGTTGGAGAGAAGCTGACGGTGCATGCTGGGACTTGTAGTTCTCTGATGTTGGAGAGAAGCTGACGGTGCATGCTGGGACTTGTAGTTCTCTGATGTTGGAGAGAAGCTGACGGTGCATGGTGGGACTTGTAGTTCTCTGATGGAGAGAAGCTGACGGTGCATGCTGGGACTTGTAGTTCTCTGGAGAGAAGCTGACGGTGTATGCTGGGACTTGTAGTTCTCGGTTGGAGAGAAGCTGTGTGAATGCTGGGACTTGTGGTTCTTCGATGTTGGAGAGAAGCTGACGGTGCATGCTGGGACTTGTAGTTCTCTGATGGAGAGAAGCTGTGTGCATGCTGGGACTTGTAGTTCTCTGGTGTTGGAGAAAAGCTGATGGTGCATGCTGGGACTTGTAGTTCTCTGATGGAGAGAAGCTGACGGTGCATGCTGGGACTTGTAGTTCTCTGATGGAGAGAAGCTGACGGTGTATGCTGGGACTTGTAGTTCTCTGTTGTTGGAGAGAAGCTGACGGTGTATGCTGGGACTTGTAGTTCTCGGTTGGAGAGAAGCTGTGTGAATGCTGGGACTTGTGGTTCTTCGATGTTGGAGAGAAGCTGACGGTGCATGCTGGGACTTGTAGTTCTTCGATGTTGGAGAGAAGCTGTGTGCATGCTGGGACTTGTAGTTCTCTGGTGTTGGAGAAAAGCTGATGGTGCATGCTGGGACTTGTAGTTCTCTGATGGAGAGAAGCTGACGGTGCATGCTTGGACTTGGACTTGTAGTTCTTCGAT